ACCCTGAAATTTTTTTTTCTACGATTTTATACCCTCTCATATCTTTTGATTTGCTATTAGTCCTTACTTCTTTAAACCATTATTTGTTTTCATAGCAGTGTGATATACTATGTGGACATCTAACCCATAAAACAAGTTTTTTAACTATCTGATTTGCTTGTAACATGGACCTAGTAGAGACAGTGTATTCCAACTATGGGCTTTGATTAAAGCAGTATTCATACTTACCACAAACGTAAGAGAGCCTAACATCACAAAAGGAGGGAGGGTGGCGTTACTGACCAGCAAACATGAAGGTGGGGAGATAACTTCAATCCACCCATGTCTGTAGGGCAGAACATTTTGTTTAATTACGGCTCCTTATGGTTTAGTGGGATGCCACGAACTTATGGTATTGAAGCTGATCTATTCACGCAAAATACCTCTTTAAGTCGTGTTACGAACGTTGAATTGGTTTCACTTCCTACCTAGAAATCCTATTACAAGCAAACTAGACAATTCGCTAATATACGAAGCCTAATCAAGACCCTATAATAGCTGGGGGAAAAATATTTTAAAAAAAAACGAAAGAGGCTCTAATAGCTTCGATATTAAAGGGAAGACAGCCAAATGTATATCACAATACTGTTTCTAGCACTATATTTTATTTTATAATCACACATAATCTTATACTCTCAGCTCTTTTCCGAATCGCCCCCATTTGTCAGTTGTATGTCGACTCACACCTTGTCAACACTTATTTTCTATAACCTATTAAAATGCTCTTTCTTAACATATACCTTAATAAAGGAAAATTAGACTGAGTAATCATACCTTAAGCATTCTTTCATGAATATTGGCTATTCTGCCTCTCGTGTTTTCTTTTACTTGCTCCCTCTTTCAGCCCCCTTGAGATATGGAACTGGTGACTTCATCCTGCACCATCCTTAAAGCCTTGGATATCCCAGAAGGAAATAAGGTTGCGATTTTTAGAAGCCCATACCTTCAATGGACCTATTCTTGACCATCAGTCGCACATTCGCAACGCGACTTTCATGAAGCGCGCCAACTATGGTACTGATTTAAACCATCGACATTCATATCTTATAAATTATCAACCCAGCTATGTAATTTATTGCAGTGTATATTGTATCATTTGTATCAATTTGATCTTGCCTGTAAACTGGCATGCCTCATGTAACAAACTGTTATTTGAGAATAAATTATTATTATTATTATTATTATTTTTCTTTTCACCTTCAGGATTGAAAGTTAGGGATTTCTTTATAATGCATTTTGGTGATTTCCACGATGTATGCCCTATCCACCTCCAGCGTCTTCTCCCTTGATCTGAAGCTGGTTTGTTCTCTATCATAGTGATTGTTTGCCGATGGTATTTATCCAACGAATATTGAGTATCATATGTAGACAATTGTCTATAAGTGCCTGTACATTTTTGATGATGGATGTAGTAGTTCTTGAATGTTTTGGTCTGTGAAACAGAATTGTGTTAACGTGGATGTAGAAGATTCTGACTTTTTTATTGTGTGACAATTAATTATAGTTCCATGTATTCTTGAATTGTTGCAGTACTGACCTTTCTTTGCCAATCTGTGCCTTCACATTTACATCAGATCCTCGTTATTTATCCATGATGCTGACCAGGTACTTGAAACATTCCAGCTCGTCCAGGACCTGTCGATAAAGTGTGATTGGGTTTTTGCTCTCTGTGTTGTATGTATTTGAGGAAATTGTTTTCCTCTGAACATGTTGCGAGGCACGGGATGTCTGCAACTGTATTCGTTGCTGTTTGTGAGATAGAAGAGCTAAGTCATTCACGAAGTCGAAATATTTCAGCCGTGTCCATGTTGTTCATTGTATTTGGTGGTTCCTCTGACCATTCTCACCATTTTCGTTCGTCTCTCCCAATTAGTCCATTTCGTCTCATGTTATTTCCATAATATTTGTTCTCCATTCCAACCTTGGTGTTTAGTTTTCCCATAATGATTATTAGGTTGTTTCCTGAGCATGTCAGTGTGATTGACTGCAGCTTCTCATGAAACTCATATTTGTTTTGTTTGTTGAAATCGCTGAAGAGTGTATGTCACTGAACAAAATTCATTGTGATTCTCTCCTTCTTTGTTGTATTGAAGGATGCTTTGATGATCCTGGATTCATGAGATTCCCATCCCATATGTATTTTTGGTACTTCTTTGAACGGCATGACCACAACTCCTTGTGTATGTGTAGGTTTATCTTCTTCATGACTAGAGTACAACAGATTCTCTTTCGAGTCGTATCTTTTTTATTCAGCGTGCGTCCAATGAGTTTCACTTATTCTGAACATCACCAGGTTATATATCCTCATTTTCGTAGATATTTAACTAGTCCTCTCAGTCTCCTACTTTGTTCAAACACTCCATGTACATGTGTTAATTGTTGCTCTGTTTGTTAGAAGTGACATCGACCTCGACTTCCAAAGAATGTTGGTTTTTACTTCATCATGAGGCGTCATAATTTTTCTTTATGTATAACCTTCAACTCTGATGCAGCGTTTTAATGGGTTTCCATAGTTTGCATTTTCCTTAGCATGGCATTGTTAACCTTTTGTCCGACCCTCCTGCTTTTTCCGGATTTGTGACCTCGACAGTCTTCAGGTTAAATAATAACAATATAGAATTGTTATGATTAGTTTCGTAGGATTCCGTTCTTCATTTTTAATACAATTTGATCTGTAATCACTACTATGTTATAATGATAAATACAATGATGGTATACAACGAATACTGCAACCGGATAGTTTAGTTTTGGTTCTTTTATATAAAATTACATTTTCCATGTAAAACTCAGTAATTTTTATTGTCTTCTAGCACGATTTTTCTTTTGTCGTCTTTAAAAGTTTTTTTACTCTTGTTAGTTACACTTCAATGTTTGTAAAGAAGGAATTGTTTAGTAGACAAGAAAGAGAACTTATTTATTTTTCGCCTTATCATTGACATATTGAATTATTCATGCTTTGTTTTTGTCATTTTGCATTTACTCACTTTTAAGGTGTAACACTGAAGTGAATGAGTAGTAAAACCTGTTCAATAATATAAGTATATATGAGATGTGACAATGATCTTTTTTTTTTCTTTTCAACAAAATCGATAATATTAGTCACAATTGATTGATCACTGGGTGTCGAGTCACCTAGAGTGGTGACCACATTGCAACATCATCGATAGCATTCGATCTGCACTAATAAGAACTAGACACACGTGACATTGATCGCCACCCAGTGATCAATCAATTATGATTACATCTCAGTCCTACAGGAGGTTGGTCGCGGCCCAGATAACCCAGTGGTAACGTCTCCAACTGTGAAGCTGGGTGACACGAGATCAAATCGGCCAGGGAGTACCAGTTTCCTCAAGATTAAAGGTACACCTTGCTGACGAGTGCCAAGTAGCACGAAACCCGGATCCAGGGTTTCTTGTCGACTACCTCCAACCACCATCTAATCTCAATAGTAGTAGTGTTTACCAATTTATGCCACAAGATTTTTTTCTATTTATCATACTTCTATCTTATTAAATCTGAATGAGTTCTGTTGTGTTCTACTTTTTTTTAAAGATTATTCCTTTATAAGTTGAGGATAATCGACTATTTCTTGTTTAATTTTATAGATACACTCACTTAACAGTATTATTATCCAAATGATGTACAGGGTCAACTCATTTGTATTAAGGTGTAGTCGAGATCACGGTGGTTCAGTGGTGAAACAACTCGACTTTCAATCAATAATTTACAGGTTTGAACACAGCTTCACTTATTATGGTTTAGTCAGCGTTCATACATACAGTGTGACTGAAAAGCGAATTGACAAATATATATATATATATATATATATATATATATATATATATATATATATAATAGCATTTAGAAATCTCTATTTTCTAGATGGATTCTCATTTCATATTTAAATCTATGATTTGGACATGTTTCATGCATGCTTTCCAAATAGCTTCTACGATAATCTTTTTACTGATCCTAGAATCAGTTGAATACAATGGGAAATCATTCATTTTGTGGTATGGTGCTGTGAAGTCAATAAATATTAAAGATTTTTTGATATAAAAAGAGAGATCCCATGATTTACTGTCTTGGAATCTTATTTAACTCAACTAGTAGTAATGTAAAACACGACAATAGGCAGATGGTACGTTTATTTATTGCGAGAAGTTACATAGCCTTCAATTGTGCATTTACATCTTCCGGTGTGTTCTACAATCTGAACTGGCTTCCAAGTGATCTGCCAATGCTGTGCTTTCGACACACTGAAACTTTCCACTCTGTCCGACAATTGTTACAACCTCGACACCACGTTCCACTAAAGACTACTTGCAAATAATCTTGTGAGTAGCAGCCATTATAGTAGTTATTTTGGAGTCTCTTGTCTTCCGAGAAATCGGAGAGATTGTATTAAGCGGTTATGAAAAATTTTTCTTTGATTACTTACTTTGTATCTTCTCGATGGTATCATTTATTGAAGCCGTATGGTCGTATTTGTAGTGACTTTGAAATTGTATTAACCTATTCAAAAGGAGACAGATCTTCATCCATAAGTTTACATAATGTTGTGTGGAATGTTACATTGACTACATAAAACAAATCCTTTGAAAATGTATCTCGGAATAGCATCTATTTTTTGAGAGTAAGAAATAGTTCATAACTCAGTACAAGAACATCTTATCAATTCTGATCACATTTGCTTTATCAAAATTATCTTTCAAAACAATTCATACCAAAGAAACATGAATCAAAAACATGTGTATTGTAGAGGCTTTAACAATTTAACAGTTCAAGTCTAAACTCTTTGTACAAAATTAGCAGCTAGTCTCTTATTTTACTATAACTCTAACATCTCTTCTAATCTGTCATCGGTTTTTGATAATCTTGTCCAGTTTTTCAGAGTTATTGTTTAGTTGTTGTTACCATCACTTATTTCGTCTTGTCTACTGAGTGGATGATTAATGATGATGGTGAAGTAATCGAACGCTGTCGACAACTTCACTTATCTTTGAAGTCTGATCAGCCCTAATGTGTTGGTGTCTGACGAAATCTCAGCACCGATTCAGAAAGCGCGTTTGGCTTTTGCCAACTTAAATCATCTATGGCGAAGGCGAGATATCCGTCTATCAATTAAAGGACGCGTATACTGCGCGGCAGTCTGTTTTGTTTTAATTTACGGCTGCGAAACGTGGTCATGAAGAGTAGAAGATACTCGTAAACTACTGATATTTGACCACAGATACCTTAGAATTATTGCTTGTATCTGCTGAGATCACCGGGTAAGTAATAGTGAGGTTAGACACAGGGTATTACGAAATGATTGTAAATCAGTTGATGAGGTTGTGAATGTTCATAGACTGAGATGGTTGGAACACGTGTTGCGTATAGCTGAACACCGATTACCACAACGCGCAATGCTGATTAGTGTTGGAGACGGTTGGAAGAAATTTAGGAGCGGCCAAACTAAAACGTGGCATCAGTACTTGAAGTCACTAACTTGTAGTTTCAACCATGTTGGTAGATTCGGAATACTTGGTTGTGGTCCGTGTGACTATCATAACCAGTGGTTGGAAATTCTTTGTAACATGGCTCAGAATCGATCATAATGGCGTCGGTGCATACACTCCCTGTCTTCCCGTAAACTGTGAGATTAAAACTGCTTTATATCTTTCTTTCTACCAACTAATTCTTTCTTCCTGTATTATATCCATATACACATACTTTCTTTTGTATATTAACACCATTGAATTAACTACTTCTATGAATTTGGTGTCCGTCTTGTTGTGTTAATGAGGTATGGCAACTTGAACCGATGCATATATGTGCCTGGTCCTACGTTGTAGCTGACTGACTGACTGACTAATACCAATGAAATGTAGAACTGTAGTTATCCATGTGAATTTCCAAACTTTATCACTAGCAAAGCATTGAATTGTAACTCATTTACCAAGTATTCGATTCTGCGCTATACCATTTGTATCCGAGATAATGATATGTCCCGACTACCAAAACTGAAGAAGATGAAAAAAGATTCGAAAATGAATTTATGGATTAAAAGTTAAATGTTTTTTAATCACTAATTCACCGATCTGCAATTGCTAAGATCAGTGGGCTTAACTTCCAGTTGTTAAGTTTAGGGTTTCGTAATATTTACAACATTATTAAGAGTGTTCATACGTATATACCTATATACTGTACTTTGATATACTGTACCATTTATTTATGTTTTTACTTTTAGTTGTAGGCAACCAATACCATTGGATAAATTGATTCCATTCAAAACAAGTGTTATTATTGTATTTCATAATGAAGCTTGGTCAGCTTTATTGCGTACTGTTCATTCAGTTCTTGATCGTACACCAGTACAATTGCTTCATGAAATTATTCTTGTAGATGATGCTAGTACTCAATGTAGGTATTTAATGCTATTTCATTTTTATTTTAACTAAAATTCTAATTTCCTACTAAAAGTATTGAATTGAATAAAATGATTATCACTGAATTCAAATCTTGATGGTATATTCCATTGTTGTATTCTAAACTAGACGAACTGCGAATTTCGTAATTCCTTCTTACAAGATCTTAAAAATATCCATGACATATTTTCTTATTCCTTAGTTTTTTTTTGAGTATATGTTCTTATTTATTTATTCTAACACATAAATATTGGTACAAGGGGACACCAGTTACATATGTGCCACACAAATCTCACTTGATATATGTGAGGGCTGTGATACTGCCCGGGTGCCCAAACCGAAACAGGTGGTTTTCTTAGGGGGTCACACTCGGAGCCTTCGACCTAAAAGTCGAATCCATATGGCAGTGAAGCAATGTCAGAAGATGCAGTCACATGGTAACCGGTGACGAACAATTGTTTCATACGCTATTTGTTTCCCCAGAGTCCTAGAGTCCATGTACACCGTTGGTTTGGAATCAGGGTTTTCCACCTCCACTAGGTAGATCCTCCATATCCACCGACCTGGTGAAAGCACCGGACATTCGCTTTTAGTCCTCTCAATTTCGTAAACAACAGTAGTGCCACGAGAAGGCGATGAGTAGGACTTCCCTGGCAGAGGCTATATACGCTTGGCCGTGTGAGAGCATTTCGAGAGGAAGAGCGAACTCTCCCTACTCTCGGCATTTGGGGGCAGTATATGTTCTGGTTGTTATCCACTCGATAATAGCAATCACTGATGGATAGAGACGCTAAGTATGATAGTTCGTAATCAGTCAAGATCGTACAGATTCTCAATGTTTAGTTTGTCCCATTGAAATTACAGCTACCACTGTTTTCACTTCTTTAATATTTATCTTATTCATTCCATCTCTTTGTGCTAAAATAATAAAGTGATTTGCGATAATATACATTTATGTTGATTAAGACTGAGGGACTTAATATGAATACATATCTACAAAATATGAAAGGCATTAAGTGAGTTTTTCATACCATTCTCAATGTACTTGTCTAATCATAATAGAGGACTAGGTTTCTATGAAATCCAATCGAAGGGGGAGCTTATTATTGAAATGTGCTCTCTCTCTTTCTCTCGTCTTGTGTAGTTCTGCACTATCCCAGTTTGTTCATATGTATCTATGATAATTTTTATTGTATCCAGCCCATTTAGGTGATCAATTGAAAACTTATGTAAATTCACTAAATAAACCTGTACGAATTGAACGAATGTCAAATCGAAGTGGTTTAATACGTGCTCGATTACATGGAGCAAAAATTTCCACTGGTAAAACGCTTACATTCTTAGATGCACATTGTGAAGTGACTATTGGTTGGCTAGAAACTCTACTTAGACATATTTCAGAAAATCAAGAACGTATAGTTTGCCCGATTATTGATGTTATTAGTCATGATACGTTTGAATATCTTCTTGGTAAGTTTTCTTTTTTCTTTTTCACTTAATACTTTGCCTTTTACTATTCATAAAATTTTGTATTTTTATTGTTGTTGATATTTAAAGTTGGATTTGATCACTCTCTACTGGTAAACGAGCTGGTTAGACGAATGTTAAGATATTTCCTTTAGTGACAAACTTTTAGTATATTTTGAATGGTGACTAGCAGTGAAATACGATGGACTTGTTCGTAATATTCAGGACTCATCAGTTAGTGAATGTATCTTTATACCAGTGTGTGAACACTACCACTGTTTGGGTGTGCATAAATATTTAAATAGATAAAAACTTAAATCTTGAATTTTACTACTAGTCAGTATTGCACTGATGACATTAGAATGAGAATCATTCAATTCTTTAACCAACTGTAGTTGAAAATGTCAACACAACTCGACTTAGTTCATCGATGGTTGTAAAGAGACTGTAAGGTTCTAGGTTCAGTCTTTGTATGCTGTTGTAAGTGTCCGCCGCTGTATGGTCTCATAATCAGATAAAATTACTGTTTACTTTTCAATGAGTTTAGCTGGTCCCTTAGTGCTGTTGTGTTCTCTAAACTATAGTGTATAATTTCGAAGCTCTTATTTTCGTTCTGGACGATATCATCAGCCTGTATTTCCTGTAAAATCGAGCTTTCTAGTTATTCTACAACTGTTAAATCGGTTCATTCTTATGGCATTATTTGTGATTGATTGTCTTTGTATGTTTTGTTGTCTTCGTTTTTGCTTTCATTCCTGTTGATTGTCTTTTGCTGTTTACCTTTGATCATATAATTGACTAACGCTTTTCGTACCAATTATTATATTCGACCTGTGTTAATGTTTTTTATTGTTGCTAATCCGTCTAAACTTCATACTATCAGAAATTTGGTGAAATTCTTAAAATTTTGACACTTACAGTCGTAGTTGTTTGCATATATAGATATGAACGATAACAAATCATTTTACATCGCCATTAATCTTTGTTCATGTATGGCTTGATGTAACCTTGATGTGATTTATTTTGAGGACAATGTTGCATCTGTTTTCATATGCTGTTGGGTCTTTCGACTTTCATAAATTACAATAAAGTGATCGCGTTTGTTTATCAGCAACATCGATTCCGAACGGTTTCAGAATTCTCGATAAGACGCATTTATGATCTGTATGTGTAAAGGTTGTAGATGATTCCAAATAATGTGGTAAAGCTGATCCTGTTTTATGTTAAGAAACTTGATAATTTGTAAGTCATTTGTAAATTTACTGATTCATTTACTTGACCCTGAGCGAAACATTTTGTGTAAAGCCTATATATGAATATCAAAGCAGGTGATGGGGTTTAAACCTGAGACTAAGCGACCCCCGAATGCCCTGGTGCGGCCGAGAGTAGGGAAAGTCAGATCTAACCCCCCCCCCAATAAAAATACTCTCACATGGCTACACGTACAGAACCACTGTCAGGGAAGTCCTGCTCACTACATTATCGCGGCACTACTGTCATTTACGAAATTCAGAGGATGAAAAGAGAATATCCGGCGCTTTCACCAGGTCGGTGGATATGGAGGATCCACATAGGAGAGTTGGAAAACCCTGGTTCCAAACCAACGGCGTACATGGACTCTAGGACTCTGAGGAAACAAATTGTGTATGAACCAATTGTTCGTCACCGGCTACCATGGGACTGCATCTTCTGACGTTGCTCTACTGCCTTGTGGATTAGACCTTTAGGTCGAAGGCTCCGGGTGTGGCCTCCTAAGGAAACCACCTGCTTCGGTTTGGGCACATGGGCAGTATCACATCGATGATAACTACTGGAAAATGTAATCATGTTTTGTTTTTCATTCAGTCAAAAATATGATAGCATTTGGTTTTATTTCTTTTATACCACGTCACTTTTATGCTTCCCTTTATTCTCGTTTTGCGTATTTTATTTTGTAACCTATACAGTAACTCGCCTATGATGCAAACTCTGTCCTATCTAAACGATCTCATGTCACTGACGGATCAAAGGTTAAATGCTACCACTGACTACAAATACTGAACGAGTCTTCCTGAAACCATGTATATCATTCAAACTGGCCTCCTTCAACGTTCACACGCGAATGCAGATCGGACAACAGATAGGGTTGATTGTCTTTAGAAAGTCTTAATATCAGTGCCTGTTGTCTGTCCGAGACTTACATTCAAGACTCTAGTGAAGTATTTCAAATTCGTTGTCTATCTGTCCCTTCAAGAAGCTTGTTTCACGTGCGTTTATCCAGAGACCCTTTGGCATCTTCGTCTGGTTTTGCTGGCGTTGGTGTTGAACTAAGCTCTAGAGCTGAGGCAGCACTGACCGATTTGTTCCCTATTCACAGTTGGCTATGTGCTTTTAGATTAGAAAGCTCCATCAAAGTGCGAAGAAATTGGTGTGAGAAACGATACGTTTTCGTTATCTCCGCCTACACCAGTTAACTCTTCTACAGAAAGTGCATTCAACAGATATTTTAGTACTGACCGGAGACTTAGATGCTTGGGTCAGGCGTCTAGGCACAGAAGAGAGTGACTCAGGTGGTCTATGGGGACTTATTGGTCGCAGGTCAGATAACGGTGACTGTCTACAACTCATTTCTGGCTAACATTAACTATCGATACGGTCATTTCCGATATGTTACCTGACATAATCCATCTGCATCTCAAACTTGGATTGAGGTTAATCACATGGCAATCAGCTACTGCTGTTGTGATCGTGTACTAGATTGCCACTAACTTTTGAAGTACCTATCTGAACTCTGATCACGCCCTTGTTTGCGTTAATCTCACCTTACTATCCATTAGCCAAAAAAATCCATCGTCATAAAAAGATCGATATCAGCAAATTGGTTGTAGCTTCTGTTGCAACTAAACATCAAACCGATCTAGGTTCAAAGCTAGCTTCTACCCCACCGAACAGTATAGATGAGCATTGACTGGAGTTGCATGACACCATGAAAATGGCAAGTCGCTTGCAGCCTCGCGAAACGTCCCGCATAAAAGTGGTCAGTATGTGACATGGCATCGTAGTATAAAAGAGAGCTATACAATTCTGGTTTCTGCTAGTCATTCATGACTCCCTGGTTGTAGTCGTAGAGATGGTACAACACAGTGGCTTGAGTTGTTATCAAAAATAGCTCAGAATAGAAACCAGTGGCGATCCTGCTGTAACTTTCTCCATACAAGTAGACGTAACGTATTTAACTGAAAGAATTCTTTCTGGTTGTGTTTTTACAAACTGAGCTACTTCTCCCATTATTATTATTATTATTATTATTATTATTATTATTATTATTATTATCATTATTTTACTCTCATACACTAATTTCTGTTCGGTGTTGTCTTGTTTTTTTTCTTATACGCACTTTGCATTCGCTATCTCTTTATATCCTGATTGTTATTATGTGACGCATATGTATTTGGTACCCTTATGTACTAGTATTTATATGTTCAAATAATAATAACAAGTGGTTAAAGTTTAAATGCTTATTGTGATTATAATGGTTAATTATCGGAAAAGTCTCGGGAACACTGTGATGATAATGTAACGTTCAACATTCAACAGGTTTACATCTAACCTGAAGGTACGTTTTGTGCTGAGTAAGAGTAAATTTTAAAAACAATCTATGTAAGTGAATCTAGAAGAGAAGAAAAGAGAAATAGTGAGCCAGTAACTTACTAACCACATAAGATGCACTATTGATGGTGAAAACAATTGATAACAATCATTAATAACAAGTATGAGGTCAAGAAAATCTGGTAATCGAAACTAGACGTTGATAGAGTAACATTTCGAACGTGTTATAATGTAAACATGGAATTGTAGTAACCATACACACATTAATGAGTAATCATCATAATTATATTGTTTGTCAGATAAAGTAAACTTAAAAAAGACTCTTGACTTGAAATAAGATGTATGTTATGAGTTTTTATTTAAATAACATAATTTACAAAATAATAAACACTTGTAGTGTCGGCTACTATGTCAAACACTCCATGTACATGTGTTAATTGTTGCTCTGTTTGTTAGAAGTGACATCGACCTCGACTTCCAAAGAATGTTGGTTTTTACTACATCATGAGGCGTCATAATTTTTCTTTATGTATAACCTTCAACTCCTAATGCAGCGTTTTATTGGGTTTCCATAATTTGCATTTTCCTTAGCATGGTTTTTTGCTACGAGATGGCATTGTTAACCTTTTGTTGTGTTGAAGGATGTTTTGATGATCCTGGATTCATGAGATTCCCATCCTATATGTATTGTTGGTACTTCTTTGAACAGCATCATCGCAACTCCTCATGTGCAGAAAGGTTTATTTTCTAGATGTTGATGTTTTGTAGCTTAAGTGGCTGATGCAAGTGTATTTCTTTAAGCTGAGTGTTTTGGCTTCGAAGCTTTCATTGTTCTTCTAAATAAATTCATTAGCATAAGCTTCGAGTAGAACGGAAATATCTTAATTTCTCTACATATAACTCACGGCCTGCTCTATCGACTTCAGTCTTGATTCGTTATTGTTGGCCTTTGTCACATTGCTGTCTGGTTCTTTTTTTTGATTGTATCTCATATCGACTTCATTTTGATCATGTATTTGTATGTGATTTTTACGGTTAGTTGATAGGTTGGGTCTATTTCAGTATGCTTGTTGATTGCTGATTTACCTGAGTGTCAAACGTTTTAAAATCCTATTGAGATTTTCAAATCCATCCACGATCTAAGCATTTTTTTGGTGGAATATGTGTCCACAGTTTTCCGCATGCATTGATGTGATCGAGGATATGTCACGGCGTTTAACGGCCAATTGATTCTCGTCTCAGCAAGTGCGGAGTGGGCAACATTTTTGTTTGACGTTGTGTTTACACCTTTGAAACAATTTACTTTGTGAATGATGTCCTGTTATTTATTATGCGTCTTAGTGATATTTTGATGTATTTGTCATCAGCGAAGTGTGACAGCTCCTCTCTCAAGTCTAATCTGTTCTATGCAGCTTGCATCCAATGAGTTTAACTTATTCTGAAC